TCCACCAGCGGCTGCATTATACATTCTAGCCGACTAGCTGGCTGAAAGACTGCCCACTCCTTCCCTAAACCCAACTGATATTGTTTTCAAAAGCCCTCTAGAAACGAAAAGCCTAAATATAGACATGGGATTGTATCCACAATGAGCAGTGTTGCGATTTGCTGCTGTATTATAATTTCAAGTGTGACTCTTGTTCTGTAGCTGTTATACACACCATAATGCGTGATTCACTCTGATATTAAAATAAATTGGATTAAGGTGCAAGGGATGGTCAACTGTAATTAAAGACTAGAGATTACAGATATTAAATGCATGCAATTAATGAATCATAAGTACCGTGTAATACATGTATTTATATATAAGTGTAAGTACATACAGGTTACAGCCCCTTAATGAAAAGTGGTCCAAAAATTAAAATTTCTCTGTCTGCACATATGGTGGCATTGATAAATAAAACTCCTTGAAAATTTCCATCTAAGGTTTTTTTTTTTTTAACAATGTAAGTGTAATTAATTTTTTTTGTTCTTGCAGAAATGCTGTTGAAGAATGATAGTGGAATTAATGTCAGTTTATTTGACTTTGCCCTGGTGAACAACATCACATCAATCCCACTGCCTTATGCTCTGAGCAGCATAAATATCCTTGAAGTTGACATGACTACTGGTAAGAGCGAATGGCGAAAACCGAATGTTCTTCTAATGTATTTATATGGTTCCTTTATAATTCCTTTTCTGCTAAACAATATAAGAAGATTCTAGATTCTAGGAACTTTCCTTAATGGTTCTTTTTTGTATTGCAAAGATAACCTTCCAAGAACAATACAGAACATTTTATTTTATTTTTTTGGTCAGTTTATTTAGGGTTCAATTCCCGCTATTACTAAACTGCTAACTAAAACATTTGCATCAATAAACACCTAGATAGTTTGTTTTTAATATTAGGGCAGTAGTAAAGTGTACTGTCATATTGTAGGATTAGGGATGTAGCATAAGATGTAGAATATGTACTTTTACTTTGGAAAAGCTTTCAGAGGTCGCTGCTACCCAAATGAGGAGACCTGTGACAAAGACACATATGGGCTCGCCCTGGTTAGGGGGAGCACAACATACAGTAGATGGTTGGCTGGTAGAGAAAACATATGTCTGCCTATGTAGGAGGACTTACCATGGCTGACATTGCACATGGGTCGTCTGAAAAGGGGACCACACATAGCTGGCACCGTACCCCAGAACATGGGTTGACCAAGCGAGCATACAAAGCAATGGTCCCGCACCTGGCTCCAGTGTTGAGTAAGTTTTTTTTAAAAAGTATTTAAATACTATTTACATTATTAAAATTGTACTTAAAATACATTTTTAATTTCAATGTTTAAAAAGTAACTCAGCAACTAAATAATTAATTACTTGAAAAAAATCAACACATAAATGTAAAACATATATATCTCAATGCTGAATAGACAATAGAAATTAAACTCTTTAATTCTTTAAATCTGAGCCAAACAGGACATTTTAGCTTTATTACAAAATGTAACACTTTAAGAATAATAAACATTATATGTCTCAAAACAAAAGACATTTAAATAAAAATGACACAATATTTCATGTATACCATATATTGACATAAATTTCTAACTCCGTTCATTGTTTATCAAGCATGTTCAATCTACTTGATAGATTAAATACTCTGCTTCATTTAATTAATTGATCCAGAACTGTTAAATTTATGTACAGTATTTAAACAAGTACATTATAAGTAACTGTATTTAAATTACGTGAAAATTTTAAAGTAATCGATTTTCTAAATACAGTAAATAGTTAATTTGTACCCAATTATATCCAACACTGCCTGGCACCTTGGCCAAGTCAGGTAAAGGGGGTCTTAAAGGAACTCTCTAGGGTTCACTAATGGGGCTCAAGCGAGCAGAGAAGTCTAATGCACACATAGCTCTGGGTTATGGAGCATGGAACAACAAGCGTTTTTGACAAAGAGCTTAGCTTTCTCCCCACTGACTGGTGTTACTCAGCAACCAGGAGGAAACCGGCTCCACATTATAGAATCTCATAAATGTGTTGGGTGTCGCCCAGCCCACAGCTCTACCAATGTCTGTAAGACAGGTGCCTCATGCTAACGTTTAGGAGGCGACATCTTTAGTTTAGTAGTGTAGTCCACGTACTTGAGCATGTACGTGAGCACCAGATCCCTGCGTATTTCCAATACTCCCAAGATTTAGCTAGGATTAGACAACCTTTAAGGTAGTTGAGAATGCAAATGCCTGCCAGCAGAAGCGGCAATAGGGCACCCTCCAGGACCCTCGCAAAGACTTATGGAGACAGGCATAAAAGGAAGGATCTTGTATTGCCATTGTCATTGCTCGACCATCGAATACAAAAAGGAACGGCCAATGTCAAGTAAGTATTGAAACATGAAAAAAAAACATGTCCTTCAGTTTGATTGTTTTAAACCTATCCTGGGGATGGACACATGTGATGATGTGTTTCTGCATGAGCATCCCGAATGGTCTCTTATAAAGATTCTGATTCAAGATCAACCCGAAGAAGCCAAAGATCAAAAGACTCAATGACTACAGACCTGTGGCCTTAACATCTGTGGCCATGAAGTCATTCGAAAGACTGGTGCTAGCATATCTGAAGGACATCACTGGACCTCTGCTGGACCCCCTACAGTTTGCCTATGGAGCAAACCGGTCTGTGGATGATGCAGTCAACATGGGACTGCATTACACCCTACAACATCTGGACAAACCAGGCAACTATGCAAGGATTCTGTTTGTGGACTCTAGTTCTGCCTTAGACACCCTCGTCTCATCACTGCTCGAGTACAAACTAACCCATTTCTCTTTTCCTAGCTCTGTCCGTCAATGGATCACCAGCTTTCTGATAGATAGACAACAGCAAGTCAGAATGGACAAAATCACATCCGACAGCTGCACCATCAGCACTGGTGCCCCCCAGCAATGTGTTCTCTCCCCACTGCTCTTCTCCCTGTACACCAACGACTGCAAACAAAAGACCTCTCCATCAAACTCATTAAGGTTGCAGACGACCTTATGTGTTGTCACTTGCCACTTTATGTACACTGGAAGCTTTTCTGTAGTCAAAATGAGATCCTTGTGTGTGTGAAGCACACTTGGCAATAAAACTGATTCTGAAGATACACAGATCCAGGACAGGTTTGATTATGCCCTTGCCAGTAGGACTGCAATCTATTTGCGCAAGACAGAGGCAGCTGTGGGCTTCACTACAAAGAAATGCACACCCCTGTACTTCAGAGGGAATTGTGCATACTGAATCACATACCAAAGTCTCACTGTCCAAATGAGCCACCGTGACGGGCTGGGCAGCACTATTCATGCTGACAGAGCCTGCACAAGGGCAGCATTGGAGTGACCACTGACATATCAGTGGTGGGGTAGCTTGCGGGGATCTGTCAGCCCTGCACAGAAGGCAGTGTGTGCCTCAAAAGGGCAGCCAAGTGCACAGGGGTAGTTGCCTTGCATCTAAGACCCTGCACAGGGGCCAGAGTCACGCCTGAAGACTGGCCATTGGCATAGTGCCAGAAAATGCACAATCAGAGAAAGTGGAAACTGCTTTTTTTTTTTTTTTTTTTTAATGGAGTTTATGGCTGCTGCTCTTGAGCCAGCAGCATTGTGTTGTTAAAGGGTGATGATGGTTTCCAGCCCTCCAGCAGAAACAGAGCAGCTCGTTTCAGGTCCCATGAACACTTTACAGACCATTTACTAGACGTAGCGGCACCCTGAGAGGGGAACATTGCCTTCTTGCGACAGGCTCGATGTGGCCGCCACGGTGGAGAGGAAGTTGGCTGTGGAGTGATGGTAGATGCCACAAGGGACATCCTATGCGAGAAGCAGTTGCTACACTTCCATTCTGCTGATCACCATAACAGATAAAGAGCTGTTCACAAGATATGAAATCTTGTGTACGTTCCTTGTAAAGTCGAAAAGCGCAAAAGGGACAAAGCAGTGAAAGGACTGGGTCTGGGTCCGTCACTCTTAAACGATGCCAAAGCGACCAGCAGAGCTGTTTTCATGGAGAGGATGTTTAAGATACTGAGTTGAGTGGCTCAAACAGATCTTTCTGCTTATGTAACCCCGCTGGACCTACACCACCCAACCTGCTCCAAGCTGGGATCGAACCGGCAACCGTTCGCATGGGAGCCTGTTCTAACAGGGAGGATAAGGGCCATAGCCTCTAGCGTCTTTCACTAGAGCACCTTTAGAAGTCAGAGGAGTGTGGTTTACCTGCACGGCACTTACTAGCTGGCTTCTGTTACACTCACCCCCCTAAACCTCACTCCCATAAGGGTAATGGCACCAATGTAACCCCGCCAATCCTATACCACCCAACCCGCTCTGAGCTGGAATCGAACTGGCAACCTTCTGGATGGGAGTCGGTTGCTCTAACAAGGAGGCTAAAGACCATAGCCTCTACTAGAGCATATATAGAGGTCAGAGGAGTGAGGTTTACCTGCACATCACTTACTAGCTGGCCTCCGTTACACAGACCCATCAAGTCTACAGAGAAATCCTAAGAGGGCATGAGAGGGGGGCGGGATGGATTTAATCATCATGTGCCTTTGAGAAATTGGATAAGATCATGCTTCCTGAGCATGTTGCCAGCCACCGCGTCATGTTGAGTGGAGATGGCAGCCATGTAAACCTTCAATGTGGAGTGTGACAACCTACGCACAAGCTTATCCTGAAGGAAGGATAACACAACGCTAATCTGGCAAGCGCACCACTCAGCAAATAGACTCAACTTCAAGATGTAGGCATGCCTCGTAGAGGGTGCACTAGCCTGAGTGATGGTGTTAACCACAGATGCCGATAAGTCACAAAAGTGTTCCATAATCAATATATGGACCACACGTGGAGGTTCCAGAGAATTTGGCGTGGGTGCCAGAGGGTGCCCTGTCCCTGGGAGAGTAGGTCCTCTCTCAGGGGAATGTGCCAAGGAGGAACCATGGCGAGAAGTGTGAGTTCAGTTGTCGAGATGATTGAGTATGTGTATGCCCATGAGCCGAAGAGGCAGTTGGGCACCCTACAAAGGCCTGAAGGGAAGAACTTTGAACTGCCATGCTCAACCATCGAACGCAACCCAGAGAAAAGGACAGTGGCGTGAAAGAATAGAGACCTGAAAGTATGCATCCTTCACGTCTAAAGCTGCAAACCCTGGAGGGACTGGCTCGACTGGCTCGTTCCCCCAAGTGCCTCTGTCATCAAGGGTGGTGAGGGAGAGAGTGCACGAGGATGGGACAGAAAAAAGGTGCCCTCCATGCCTGTGTGAGCTCATTGTGCACCTCTAGAAAGAAGGGGATGGGGGATTTGAAGGTATTTTTTTGCCCCCCACGTAACACCCATCTAATTGGTCAAGGGGTTTAGCTGGGGGACAAGATATCTCCAGCCTAATCTTAAAAAGCAACCCGATTTACCACTGTTAACATGTCTGACTCCAGATCCGAAACCTCACTGACAATAATAGAGGTTGGCAGTGGGTTCAAATCGTCCACTGAACATGTTTGGCCCACCCTCCGATGCAGCGGTGAACATCTTGTTTCCGCTGTCATCCGATGAGTGCGCGGCCAATCCAGCTCGTATCGACCTCAGTTGTGCAACAGTCTGAGCTGTCCATGAGCACCCGCTCAACATGCTGGACCGCCAGACAAGTAAAACCGTGCCCATCATCCAGGGAGAGGAAACCCCCACATCCAGAAGCACACAGTCAGAACGACATCTTTTAAAAGACACACGGTTTGACTGCGTTGCTCTCATGGGGATTCTGCTCTTTTAGTAGAAACTGCTCTTTTAGCCAACAGTGAAACAACCAGGGGATGGAAAAGAAGGCCAGTTTAACCGCTGCTGTCATGTCGTTGCTCGCACTGGTAGGAAAACTGCTTTCGCATTTCGTAAAATAATGAATTTCATTCAAAATTTTAAAAGTTTTTTAACAACAGCACATATATCACAATCTAAATTTAAATATTGCACCAACATATTTGATTTCTGAATAAATATATTTTCTTTTGAAAGAGGTTATAGGAAAACAACAAATTTATAATGAGTTTCTAAACGCTTCTAAATATCCATCCTATGTTAGTATATTATTTGTATATTTATATTAATATTGAGACTAAAATTTGTTCATACAATGTACATAAAATATTGTTTTACAGTTATTGGAATGTTATTGAAAATGTCTCAGACTTTTGAAACAAATCTTGCTGACCCTAATAATCCGACTTTCAAAGATTTATCTGGAAAGCTTGAATCATCTGTAAGTATTTAATGCTTATTTTATCCATCTATCAATCTATCTATTTTTTTGTGAAAATACTTATGAGAATGTTAATACTGAAGAAATACCATAAGCTTGCTTTTATATTTAATTATATTTTTATAATAAATGATAAATTGTATTTAACACAATACTCATAACTATTTTTTTTTTTACTTTAACTTTACATTCTGAAACAGTATAATCACAGTTTTCTCATTGCAACATCTTGTATGAAAGAACCCAGCAATTGTTTGGTATAAAAATATCTAGATGACCAAACATTAACTTAGAGCTGTCAATAGACAGGAATTAATGGCTTAGTGGGTGGCTTGTTTTATATATTCATATGGTGTAGTGATACTAAGAAAGAAAACAGTTTTTTAACTTTCTATTTATAATATGTAATTGATCATACATTGAGTACTTTTGCTTTTTACAGATTGACTCAAGTTATTCTACTTATTTAAAAGGCTATATTAGTAAGTCTGTGAAGGTTAATGCCTTCAGGTACTGTATAATTTACCTTAAAAGTCTTTCAATTTTTAAAATAAATGTTTCCTATTTATTTTCTATCCAATTCAAATGTAAATACAGTGTCTTGTGTTTTGTGTTTCCTCCACAGGCCTGGTAGCGTATTGGCAGACTACACAATAAGCGCAACATCCTACAACCTTGATTTTTCATCAGCAAACGCAGATCTTTCCAGCTCACTACAGGCACAAGGAATAATTTTACCTGCAGATGCGTTTGCTCAAAGTGGTAAAGATATTTAGCGCCAAATCTTAAAACCTTCAAATGTCTTGAATGCATCATGTTAATTATGCTATAATTTAGGTTTCATTTGTTGTAGGATAAAGTGAACTGTATTTTTTTTTTAGATCAAAAGGACTGTACAATGGGCCACATTTATCCTCTGCAAAGCGGAGCGGAGCACTTGACACTAGAAGGAAGGGAAGGGGCGGAGAGACTCGACACTGGAAGGGGGCAGAGCACTCGACGTTAGAAGGGAGAAAGAAAATATTTAATGGGCGAGGACTCCTGCGGAAGTCAAGCTTGGGAATAACTCCTGTGGGAGTCAGAGCTGGGGAGTAAGGGCCTATGTAGAAGGAAGATTATAGAAGCTGAGCTTATTGTTTGAAGGAAAGAAATGTAGCAGAGACTCAACACTGAAAGGAAGAGATAGGGGGAGGCGGAGACCCTTGACGCTTCAGGGAATTCAGGGTTGGACCCTGAAAGGCAGAAGATGTCTTTTAAGTTCTTTTGAAACCAAAATCGAGTTACAGGGTGGTTAGCGTCTTCTACAAAGAGGGGGAGAGGTTGCTGGGATTTTGTCAGGGAGGTCAAAGATATAAACAAGATGGCCTTTCCTGAGCTGGTCTGTCTTGCTTTGTTTGAGTAGGATTTTTTTTTATTTGACACAGTTAGATAGGGGCTGAAGTAGGGAGACTGGGATTGGATGAAAATTTGAAGAGGGGGCTGGTGGCCAGATGGAAGATCTGGGGTTGTCCGTTTGAATGTCTTGATGTTGGGTAGACGATTAACAGTGGAGTGTGGCCTGGGTTTCCTGAGGGCGATGGCTGGATGACGTGTGGCTGGGGGGCATGGTTTGTTCTGTTCATTCTCTTAGGTGCGTAAACCGGTGGAGAGAGTTCAGGCAGAGAATAAGGGGAGTGGCAAGTTTTGGTGTTTTGGGTTTTTCCATTTGACCGTGACGTAGGTGGGAGATTCTGGTGATGTTGTGGTATAATTTGAGCAGTTCTATCTTGTTGAGGGAGCGAGGAGAATTGACGATAAAGTTTTTTTTCATCTTAACAAATATCTTTCAATAAACAAAGTTTCTCTTTAAATTAATAAGGATTCTGTTTTGATTTATTGCTCTTTTGCAGGTCAATATTCATGCTTCATAGAACGGACCACAATACCTTACATTCAGTGGCAAAATATTGTTATTAAACAACGTCCCAACATAAATGTGGGTAATGATTACCGTGTTCTACCATGTGATGGGAGTAGTTTCCTACTGAAATGTTCTGTTGATGCTGGCTACAAAATTGAGTGGGTCCAGGGTGAAACAGTACAAGATTCAGGTTGTTCATTCAAATTGGTGGTATTTTTTATTAATAAAATTTCAGAATTTACTATTTATGCTTTAAAAATTCACCATCCTTTAGTAAAAACTTGTGATTTAACAGAGAATGGACCTGACGGCATCACATTAAACTACACCACTCCAATAGAAAATTGTACAGAGGAAACCTTTACATGTCGTCTAAAGGGTCTGCCGCAACTCCTTGCATACAGTTATAGCCAGAGCAGAGTCACAGTGAAGAGTACTGATCAATGTAAGCCTTTATTTCTCATCCTTTTCAGATTTTTTTACTGTTTTGCAGTAACATTAGATGATTTGTTTGTTTATTATAGCTTTTAACTTTTATATCACACAACACAAGACAACAGAAATAAACTTAAGAAATAATAATGATATTAAAAATAATAATTATATCTAATATATGACACTTTTCCATTTGGCCATTTGGTGTATTTTTTATTTTATAAACAATGAGGAGCTCCCTTCCTTGTTTTGCTTTTATTCTTAACCAGTGTGGTAACTTCTTTAAAAGGTATACAGTAATAGTCTCCAATAACCAGCCTCATTGGAATAACCAAATCAGTTTCAGATTAATTTTTCTTCTCTCATGGATTTCCTTGATGCTGGGGTAGGTGAAGTGACAGTATATGACATGGACTTATAATTCTGCTAAAAAAAAATTTCTATGTATTGCACATACTGTAATAATGTCTGCATTAATGCGTCACACTTTTGTTTGAATCAAATCACACCAGTTTTTCTGGTTTTGACTGCTTTTTTGCTTTTTGAAATTATTTGATCTTGGGATGCACAACTAGAATTTTTATAAACCAATTTATTAAAAAAATAGTAATAATAATCCAATACCAATATTGGTAAACTGCATACAGTACTAGAGATGCAAAAATCAACTGTCCAGAGACCGGAATTGGCTGATTTTTTTTCATGACTGCTTAAAAGGTGACTTACCAGTCATCTGGCCAATTTCAGCCATGCCTTCTGTTAGGAGCTGCATGTGCAAGTGTCATCATAAAGATGCTCACATTCACTCACAGCCACATTTAATGTCCTTGGCACTGAACTTTAACTACACGAGACAAGAATTTTGCAGCCTTGACCACCACAAAAACGTTTTGTGCAATAAACTTAACTATAAATTTCAAATGGCCTCCATCTAAATACACAATTCTGACTTAAGATTAAGTGGCACTTTTTTGACCATGTGTGACCAGAGGTTTAATCATGAGTTCTGTTACACTTGCAGCTATTAACAAGCCAATCCTGTGCGGCAACACATTATCTTGACTACACACTAAGGGCCCTATCATACACCCAGCGCAATGCGGCGCAAGGCGTGACGCAAATGTTGTTTGCAAGTTTCAGCTTGACGCAAGTGTCGTTTTGACGTTGTCATGACTGTCTGAGACCACCAGATGGCACTGTAGTTCGCAAACGAACTTTAGAAGCGAACTACAGTTGTCCAAAAGACTACAAGTTCATACATACCTCGTGCACACACCCGGCTTCCATTTACACTGATTGCATTCCCAGCTGTCTCCGTTTCCCTTTGATTTCATAGACTATTTATACACTCTGCATTCATTGTTTGTCACTGCGTCGTTCGTCTTCCTAGTCTAGTAAGTCTTGTTAAAGTTGATATGTTGTTCCTGAGCCTTGTTCTAGTTTATCTGCCATAGTTCCTTATTTTGTTTGTTTGTTACTTTGATTTTTGGATGTCTTTTTTTCGATTTCATTAAAAACTGCACTTGGATACTACACCTTTTGTCTCCGTCCCTCAACAAACCGTGACAGACGTGTTCCACCATGCTGTTTAAATAGCAAATGCATTTGCGCTCAAATGAGGTGTGTTAAGGTGCATTGCAGGCACATTGCTATTTTAAGGATCTAAAATAGACTGCTAAATTGACCAGAGGAGGTCAAAAGTCTAGTGCAGAGCATGTCAGTTGTCCCCTTCGCTTAAACATTGCTTAATACACACATGATGTACTTGCAATATGCAAATATCTTTACAAATGAAAAAAGAATTTAAGGAATAAAATATTACAAAAATTATTCTTTACTACATAAATATAAAAACCATTGCCTCCATGCCTTCATCATCTCGGGGGGCTTTTTCAGTTTTTTCATGACAACTTGCTTTTGTATAATGTTGTTATTATTATTATTATTATTAGTAGTAGTAGTAGTAGTAGTAGTAGTAGTAGTAGTATTTATTATATGCATATTTATAATATATTTGTTTTATTAAAAACAAGCTTAGATTTGCCCACTTGTCAGGTTTTAGCCCACATGGGGCATGTGTATTTGGATATAAGTTTTGAAACAAATCTTTGCGCTTAACAAATGAAATTAATTATGTAGGCTAATAGATATCTGTGTGTACAACACGTTTTCACGGAAAAGAGTGAAAGTGAAAGATGATGAGGAAGATGAGGAGGCTAATCCTTATTCTAATCCTTATTCTAATCCTTAGACTAATTATTTGTATGTATGCTTGTATTTAGATTTTAGCTGTCTTTTATTTCTTTAATTGTACTTTCCAAAATGAATCCTCATTGCACTTAAAAAAGTGTACAATGATAACAAAGCTTGTTAAGTTTTTAATGATTAATGAAGGATGTTTCATTGTTTATCTTTATTTACTAGTAGAGTATTTACAGCTGTATATGCTATTTCTGTCCATTCGCATCCCATCCCTTTATGCTCCCTGGCAGCATAGTCGCAAACTGCCTAAAAAACATCCTTCAGTGCGGCAGCGGGACAAGGCATGGCGTTAATGCTCATATTAAAGTGTTACCTACTGTACATATTAGATGCAGCATTGCAGATCTGATATTTTGTACATATTATATTTTGTTTTTGCAAATATTTAATGATTTTGCTTTGAGGTTATTTTACAAGATGTGCAGCTCATTTCTACAATGTACTTAATGAACATTTAGTAGCCTTATTTATATTGTTGATTTAACAATAGCTTTAAATCAGTCTAATATCTGCTGATAAATATCAGCAGCCGATACATCAGTGCATCCATATTTTGTTATTTCTGTCTCTTCTGTACAAGTGTTTCTGTCTGACTATAATTATCTAATACTTTTCCAGCATATGACTGTCTGAATGAAGAACTTGGAATTGGAAATATAACCAATGAGACCAATGGATTCTGTCCGACTGGCACAAAAGGCATCATCATTTACAGATGTGATTCAAATGGCTGGACAGCAATAGATGAAAACTGTATACTTGCGGTTATCAGTGATTTACTTAACCTAATTCAGGTAATCTTTTAATCATGTATCTACAATTATTTGGCAATTGGACTAAATATTATTCCAACATTAATATTTTGTATTTTGCAATTTAGACCTTGCCAGTGGAACAGATTCAAGAATTCATGGCTAACCTTAGTTTCGCAGCAGAGCAGAATAATATTAATATAACTCAGTCTGCTCCTATTGTGCGAGTGATTGTGGATATACTCTTTAAAATTGCTGATCTGGTAAAAGCAATCTTCATTGGTCAGCCAGTGATGAAGGTACATATATTCTCTTTTAAGCTTTTTTTTTTTTTTTTTTGTAAAATTATCTGTCAATGTTTTATGTTTGATGTATTGAAGTGACTTTAAATTTTGATATCTCATTAATCTAGTGGTGATTTAGTCTGCATAGTTCATAATGTGTTCATAATATTAAACTGATTCATGATATTTTAAATTATATTACTATTATTATATTATATAAACTCAACAAAAAATGCCAATTTTACCCTTTTTTTGCCCTGGGGAGCACCCAGGTTATTACCATTTGCCTCACCCAGTGCAACACATCTCCTCCACATTGAGTTGTCAGGTTGTTGATTGTGGCCTGTGGAATGTTGGCTGGAAGTTTTGAGGACATTTTAAAGGGAAGTATGCAACTGGCATGCTGACTGCAGAAATGTCCACTAGATCTTCTGCCTGTGAAATTATAGTTCATTTTTCTATCTCCATAAGCATTTGGCAGTACATCCAACCGGCCTCACAACCGCAAACCACATGTAACAACACCAGTCCAAGACCACATCCAGCATCTTCACCTCCAAGTACTTCTAAGACCAAACCCCCAGACAGCTGTTGCAACAGGTTTTTACTGTACAAATGAGTGGCCATCATTGGGCAAATGCTCTCATTCAATAGCATCTGGCACACTGGAACAGTGTTCACTGTGCAGGGCAGATGACAGACATCATGGCATCATGTGCACTGAAAAAATGGTTCATTGCAAATTGTTGCAACAATTTATATAAGCTGAATTTAAACAAATAAATTGAGTTGAACATTACTAAATTTAATTTGTTTAAATTCAGCCCATATAAGTTATTTACAATCACTTTCCTTTAAAAGAAATGTAGTAAATTCAATGAATCTTTATTTCAGTGTATGTAAATGCCTCGCAAATGTCAATGTTATGCATTGATGGTGGTCCATGGTGGTGATGAGGTTATGGTATGTGCAGGTGTATGTTATTGATGGCATTTTCAAGGCACAGAGTTACCACCACTAACTAAACCTTGTGGTTTTGATTGTGGTTCTGTAAAAGATGTTGATTCATTAACATTACCTCATGTTGCATCATGATAATGCATGACCCCATGGTGTAAGGATCTGTACACACTTCCTGGAAGCTGATAACATTCCACTTCTTTCTTGCGTAGCCCACACACTCACTGGTCACCCATTGAGTATATATTGTATGCTCTGGATTGGCATATATGAGAGCATATTCCAGTTCCTGCCATTATTCAGCGAAATTCGCACAGCCATTAAAGAGGTGAGGACCAACAATCCACTGGCCACAATCCACAACTTGATCAACTCTATGAGAAACATATGTGTTGCTATGCGTGGTCACTCCATCATTATGTACTTGTATTACTTATATCTCATGTTTTTCTTTAAATTTTTCAGAGTTTCCTAAAAATAGTAGACATTGCTTTATCAAATGATGCCATTGGGACATGGAAAAAACTGATCAATGGCAACACCACGGCAAACACCAACATTAAACTTCTGAACGCCATCGAGAATATAAGTGAACGTCTCATAAACATGTTTCAAATTAATCAAACATACATTCAGCTGATCAGAACTATAGTAAGTAACTCATTCAGTGTAACATCAACATTGCCAAACTCAACTACTGAGATTGTGATACCACAGCTTCCTGAGATGACCACAGCAACCATCCTAATCTTCACAACTCTTAACAATATCCTTCCAACCCGTAAAATTTCGAATTATAACAGCAGCACGGAATCAGATCAACGTATTAATGGTGACGTGGTTGTTGTTAAAGCTGATAAAACAGTTAACAACATATCTTTTGTGTTCAACATTACTAATCAATCTTTGGGAAATCCTCAGTGTGTCTTTTGGAACTTTGACTTTGACGCATGGGATTCCACTGGATGTGAAGTAAAGCAAGTAGGAAATGACTCTGGCATAATTACATGTGAATGCAACCACACAACCTTTTTTTCAATTCTAATGTCACCATTTGACATTGACAGAAAAGTCTTAGCCTATATAACTTACATTGGAGTATCTATTTCAATGGCCAGCTTGATTTTATGCCTCATTATTGAAGCTATCGTTTGGAAATCAGTGACATCAACCAGAGGTGTCAGAAATGTCACCTCCTATATTCGACATGTCTGCTTAGTCAACATTGCCCTGTCATTACTGATAGCAAACATCTGTTTCTTCATTGAAGCTGCAATCTCAGATGAAGACATGCCAATCCATGCGAATCGCTGCAGTCCAGTGGTTTTCTTTATGCACTTTTTTTACCTGGCTCTTTTCTTCTGGATGTTAATTTCAGGGATGCTTCTCTTTTACATGACAGTCATGGTATTTTCCAGAATGTCATTTATCATAATGATGATCATTGCCTTCACAGTTGGTTACGGTGCACCTTTGCTCATAGCGGCCATTACTGTTGCGTCGACAACTGGTTCTCAGGAATATGTTTCCAAACAAGCATGCTGGCTGAACTGGGATGAATCTAGGGCTCTGCTGGCATTTGTGATTCCAGCTCTCGCTATTGTAGCCATAAACCTTGTGGTTTTGGTTGTGGTTCTGTACAAGATGTTGAGAAGAGGAGTTGGTGCCGCAACTCAACCAGATGAGAAACAAACATTCTTTGTCGCTGTCCGATGTGTGGCCCTTTTGACTCCTCTTTTTGGTCTAACATGGGGAGTTGGAATTGGAACCATGGTGTCACGTAAATTAAGCGTTCATGTGGTGTTCACCTTCCTCAATTCATTCCAGGTATCATCATTTGTCTGTTAAATCAATTTTTATATTTTTGTGTTCTAATTTGTGCAATATATTGATTGTGAGCCAGATTTACATAATGCTTGTGTTGGAGTAAACCCTCATTTGGCATTTAATATGGCATTAAAAAATTAATGTCAGGATTTACTGCTCAGTTTACCTTTTCAGCATTAATGTTTAGCTGTGTTACACATTAGTGCTGAAAAGGTAAAAGGAGCATGAAGGTAAAAGTAGCACATGAATATGCTGATTTGGCCTGTTTTGTAAACCTGTCCCCAAATATTTTTTAATGCATTTTAAAATTGCAACTGATATTACTTAACAAAATTAAATGTATTTCTTATTCTTCCTTTAATAGGGATTATTTGTTTTGCTGTTTGGGACTATTTTAGACAGCAAGGTATGGGTTCATCCTTTTTTTTTTTTTTTTTTTGTAAATACCTTTACTAAAGCCATTAACTTATTCAATGTTCAACTTAGCAGATGTTTAGATTAAATACAAATTCACTGTTATATGCATTACAGTAAGGTCATGATCATGGCCTCCCAATCATCCTCATCCACCCAATTGGCTTCATCACTGCTTCTCCACTCCACCAATAGCTGGTGTGTGGTGAGCGCACTGGCGCTGTTGTCCTGTGGTTGCAATCGCATCATCCAACCAGATGCTGCATGCTGGTGGTGTTGTGGAGAGACCCCCCCTTATGATTGTGGTGTGCTTTGGGTGTATGGCCATACACAAAAAAACACTGGTCAGGGTCTGAGGGACAAGGAAAATACCCCTGTGCACTTGCCTGACCTTCCAAGGGACATGCTGCCTTCCGAGGGTGGCCCTCAGATGCCTGCAAGCTTCCCTACTTCTGGTACAGCAGTGGTCGTTTGGATGGTGCCTCTCTTGCGGGCTTTGCCAGCCCATCACTGTGGCTCATTCGTACAATCAGACACTGCTATGGTGATTCAGTGTGCCTGACAGCCTCCTAAGTACGTGCATTTCTCAGCTGTGAATTCTGCAGCTGCACCTGTCTTGCACAAAGAGATTGCAGTCCTACTGGAGAAAGGATGCAACTGAGCCAGTCCCTACAGTCGAAATGAAGTCTAGGTTCTACACACAGTACTTCATTGTGCCCAAAAAGCCTGATGGGTCGAGACTAATTCTGCATCTGAAAGTCTTGAATGGTATCTGGACTGCATAAGCACATTACCGCATGTGTTCGTCCCCAGGATTGGTTTGCAGCAATTGGACATGTTTCAATACCTTCTTGATAGCGTCCGTTCCTATGGTTTGTGTACAAAGGTCAAGGATGGCAATACAAAGTCCACCCCTTCAAGCTCTACCCATTTCCACAAGTCTTTACGAAGGTTGTGGAGAGTGCCCTACTGCTGCTCTGGCAGGCAGGCATCTGCATTCTCAACTACTGTACCTTGACGATTGGCTAATCATAGCTCAATCTTGGGGACAGTTGAAAATGCACAGGGATTTGGTGTACCTGAGCCTATTGGGGCTGCAGGTCAACTGGGAAAAGAGCAAATCTCACCAAGCGAAGCATCCCTTTTTATCATTGTGGAGCTGGACTTGGGCTTTATGAGCATGTGGCTCACCGGAGAGCATGCCTCGTCAGTGATGGCCTGTCTAGAGCGATTCAACATGGCGCACAATCACCCAACAAGTGACCATCACTCCACTGTGTTGCAGATGTTTCAGATATCGCTTTCTTAGTCAGGTGGTCAGACCTTGCTTTCTTCCTTTTGTTCTGTTTGCCTCAGCCGAGACCACGCATTGCTAGTTGTTCAATTCCCTGAACGAATGTGCTGGCTACCTGGTAATTAGGGCCAGGGACATTGGATAGTTTTTTTTGGTGGTGCTTTGGTAAAACTGCATAATGGGTTCAGCTCCTGTAGTGCTTAGGATATGCTTAGTCAATCAACTTGATGTAAAATCATAGTGATCGACTGTAGGTTAATGTCTTGATTACGTACATAACCCTCGTTTCCCAAAGAAGACAACAGACATTTATGTCCCCCTGCCACAGGAGTTGAATCTGATGTTGAATGCATGTGGGTTCGGCTCTTCAGCGAAATTTTGCAATTCCTAGAAATAAAATGATTTCTGGTAAAAAGTTGAAGGCTTAGTCCCTTTTTTAATCAGGGGTCGCCACAGCGGAATGAAGCGCCAACATACCCAGCATATGTTTTACACAGCGGATGACCTTCCAGCCACAACCCAACACTGGGAAACACCCATACAGTCTTGCATTCACACACTATGGCTAATTTAGTTTATCCAATTTACCTAGAGCGCATGTCTTTGGACTGTAGGGGAAACCGGAGCACCCGAAGGAATCACTTGCGAACAAGAGTGGAGAAAATGACAAAGACGTGGTTTAGGTGACTTGGGTAAAGAAAAATGGCCTTAGTGAATGAGTATGTGTGTGAATACAAGAGTGTATGTTTTCCAGTACTGGGTTACAGCTAGAAGGGCATCTGCTGCATAAAACATATAGTATGCCGGAATAGTTGGCTGTAAATTACACTTTGGCAATCCCCGAGCCAAAGAAAAATAAATGAATGAATGAATGTGTTTACTGCATGTTGTGAATCAAAATCAAGTATTTCAGAGAGCCTTGTAATAATCAAATATCTAGAAAATGCTCAGATTTCTATTAACATGGAACTCTTTTGTTGCAGGTTCGAGCGTCACTACGAGGAAAACTGCTACTAGAGAAAATCACTTCCCGTTTTACCAAGGTAAATAAATGTCCTACCACACATATTTATCTACAGTACTTTAATTTTCAACATTAATCTGTTGCTTAAAGATTTTTACACTGCCATTGATTTTGATTTATTATCTCCTTACAGAGCACCAGTGGAGGAGCATCATCTTCAGCTAGACAAGAGACACCACAGATGAGTAAGAACAGAAATCTAGAAATATATTTTCTAAAATATGAATCATGAATGTTGTCAAATTTTACATTTGGCTAAAGAAATTAATGTGAAGACATTTCAGTGTGCATTTCTGATGTGAATAACTTGTGTGTAATTGTTTGCAGATGTGAACAATGTGTCTGGTTCTAACAATTCCTCCAGACTTACTTCAGAGGGCACCAATGGCTCATTTTCAGATGTAGACACCCAGTTGTAGACACCTACAGTTTCTGTTAATGTTTTGTGGAGTAGAGATTCTGTGTTTTGGGAGGATTTGTGTAAAAAAAAAAAAGTTCACAGCATGATTTAGTCTTTAATAAATTGTGAGTTCAGTGATTAAAGACATTAAGCTAAACTTTAAAAAAGGAACTCCTTTTTAACAGCAGCTTATTTATCATAAATGTGCATGTCCACCAGAGAGCTGAATATGCCAGTGCTCTTCTAAAAATGCTTACCTGTCCAGCTGTTGGAGATTTTTTTTAAATACAGAGTGCTTATCGAAGAGTGTAGTATAATGCACACTCAGTGCCTTGCTAAACTACCCACATAAAAAAAAACAATAAAAAATAAGAAAAATAATAAAAATAAATTAAAAAAAAAAAACAACGAAAACAACACTTTCATTGACTGCAACAAAAAAAATAAGTTTGGGGAAAAATGCTTCGGTGGGCAGGTGCCCTAACAAGCACAAGTAAGGTCCCTTTCGTTTTCTTTTTTATATTGGGCACATGGGGAATTATTTTCCAGTTGGTTTTCTGCTCTGTTATGATATATTCCAAATGTTTCAGAAATTTCCAAATGCTGCAAAATTGTCAATTATTGAATGCTTTTGAATTGACTTAAAGGCACAGTATGTAATTTTTGCCACTAGAGGGCACGCTAACAACAAACAAAAACGTGTTTTAATAATGACGCCACTACTATTTATGGAATCATGGGATTTGTGGTCTTCATTACATTCTACGGGACTCCTGCAGAAATCATGTTTATGAGCTGGACTATTCAAAACTTATTATCATGGTTGTATGAAGCAGAGTAAAGCTGAATGGCATCAAAGCAAATCGAGACTGCTGAAGCAACTGTTGATGAGACTTGAGCAGCAGAACTTTTATTAGTTTCTGTTATAGATTTCTGTAAAATGCTTTTCTGTCTTGTGAACTAATATACATATTTTGTGTAAAATATCTTAAGTCTAAATAAAACTTAGTTAATTAAAAATAGCATGCATTTCGTACAATCTCTTTCATTTTTTTAACTATTGACATTTATCACTACTGTAAAAGTACTCTCAACCTCATGGTTGAGTGTTCTGCCATTAATTGTGAGATAAGATCTGAATAAAATGATATTTCATCAAAACAAGAATTTGACATCTCCACTTTTGTAAAAAGGTTTTTAAGATGGATCTTGAAATCATAGTTACTGCATTCAAATATGCAAAATATCCTCGACAACTGAAGAATCTGCAGAACATGGAGGAAGAAAGAAAAGAAAAGCACAGTTTAACTGTTCAGAACAAACAAGAAATATCCCAAAGCAGAAAAAAATGCTGATCATACAGCAGGTAACCCCACACAGCATTAAAAATCATTTAAAACAGTTGTTTTATTCATTTCAACTATATGTTTGTCTTGTGAACTAATACATTTATATATATATATATATATATATATATATATATATATACATACACACACACACACACTCACCGGCCACTTTATTAGGTACACTTTACTAGTGCCAGGCTGGACCCCCTTTTAGACTGCCTTAATCCTTCTTGGCATAGATTCAACAAGGTAATAAAAATATTCCTCAGAGATTGTGGTTCATTTTGACATGATAGCATCACATAGTTGCTGCAGATTTGTCGCCTGCACATCCATTATGTGAACCTCCCTTTGCACCACATCGCAAATGTGCCCTGGTGTTCAAAGTCACTTAAATCACTTTTCTTCCCTATTCTGATGCTCGGTTTGAACTGCAGCAGATCGTCTAGACCATGTCTACATGCCTAAATGCATTGAGTTTCTGCCATGTGATTGGCTTATTATATATTTGCGTTGAATGATTACGAGCAGTTGGACAGGTGTACCTTATAAAGTGACCAGTTATTGTATATATATATATATATATATATATATATATTATATTCATTCATTCATTCATTCATTTTCTTGTCGACTTAGTCCCTTTATTAATCCGGGGTCACCACAGTGGAATGAACCGCCACACATATCCAGCACATTTTTACGCAGCGGATGCCCTTCCGGCCACAACCCATCTCTGGGAAACATCCACACACACATTCACACACACACTACGGACAATTTAGCCTACCCAATTCACCTGTACCGCATGTCTTTGGACTGTGGGGGAAGCCGGAGCACCCGGAGGAAACCCACGCGAATGCAGGGAGAACATGCAAACTCCACACAGAAACGGCAACTAAGCCGAGGCTCAAACCAGCGACCTTCTGGCTGTGAGGCGACAGCACTACCTACTGCGCCACTGCTTCGCCCCATATATTATATTATAAATTTATTAATCTATTTTTTTATGCAAAATTATATTTTTATTTTATGCAAAATATCTCACTCAGGTCAGCACTAAATAAAAATAGCATGCATTTTGTATGATCTGTTTAACCCTTTGATGCACTACATGGGTCTAAGGTGACTTGTCTAAGCTTATTATTTTCCTATATCTATTTTATAGCTTGTGCATCAAAGGAATAATTATGTTCAAACTGTACTACGTACTCTCAAACTCTTGGGGGAGTGTGCTGCCATAAGTTGTAAGGTAAGCTCATGTCACTGTAACAAAAAAATGGAAAGGCGGTTTTCTTTAGCTGTCGAAGTAGAATATAAGACAACGACATTGTTGTGAACCACTGAGAGTTTCATAAAACAGCAACAACAACAAAACAACAACGACTAAATATGTTGTGAAAGCAGCTTATTTTAACCTATATTTGTGACAGTTAAAAATTGATAAAAGTTATGTTGTCATGAATTACGTATGACTCTGGGATAAAAACCCATGATTTTTGTGCTAATAATACAACACTTTTTTTTTTTTTTTTTTTTGCTTTGCTGAAAAAGCACAATGATTTAGGTCTTATTTTGTAGTAGGTGCACTATTTTAGTAAACAACCTTGGGCCATATTTCAGAAGTAACAAATAACCTATAAGGTTGTTTAGTGTGAAGAACATCTAAAACATCAGCCTATTGTCTGGCCTCTCTTAGTAAAGCAAACAGGCATAATTTGCTCTAAATAGGTGCAGGGGGCAGCAAAAATGCATGCTAATAGCTTTTGTGGCCCTTAAAAACAGGTCATACATGTTCTTGTAAAACAGGTTGTGTACTAACGCAAGTTGTGTTTGTATTACCATCTCAATCCGTAAGCTTGTGTGAGACCACAGATATGTGCAGTGAGGTGCTAATGATTTTAATGTCATTGTTCATTTTCTAAGTGTTTCATTTCTAAATATATTTGCATAAACTAAGCAGGTTCATTAAAGTCCGGGAAACCATAGAAAAGGAGGAAGAGCACCGCTCCAGCAGCAGTGTTCTGTAAAACTGGTTGCATTTTTTAGATACAGTTCCTCATATCAAACTCCTTACTTAACAATTAGGTCAAAAGCAATTATTTAATAAATCAGATGTGATCAGAAAGCACGCTAGAGGAAAAAGATTCTTTTAAATTCTTTCACAGCTGGTGCATTAAGGAAAAATACAACAGGAATGCAGTCATTCAGGATCTGAATAACTTTCTGTTCTTCCTTTATTTACAGTCATCAAATTATGAAGTCAATACATTGCTCAGCTTAAATGAGTACACCCCTTTTTAAAAATGAATATGTTTATCCATAGAGAGAACATCTTTGGAAATGGAAAGATAATACATTTAAATTCATGCAAAATATTATAAAAAAAAATTACAAACTTCAACATTTCAACAAAATTGTATGTATTATTATTTTTCTTGATTTTTTGCTATTTTTGAAATTTTTATTTTATATTTTTCTCTAACATATAGATTTAATTAATATTGATTAATCTAATGTATATGAACAAACATAATATTTTAAAGCATCTAATTGAAAATATGAATTTAAATGAGAGATTTGTGAGGGTTGTACTCACATATGCTGAGCACTGTATACTGTCTATATTTAGGCTGGTTATTAAGCAGTTGTAAAATTTAGCATTTATGAGCAGACAGAATACTTAGAAGAATGTTATTTTACTCAGGAATGCTTGGTATTAAAAAATCATTATTTTGACAACAGCAGACTTTGTCTAATATGCAGACAAATGTCTTGGGAGGTGCAGAATAATATAAGCTTTAAAAGTACCATATCCGATTCTATAAAACTACACTTTTAATGAGAGAGAGAGAGTGTGTCAGACCGTTAAAGGGATAATTCACCAAAACAAATAATTGATCCTTACTCAGCCTAGACTTGTTTGAGTTATTTTGTTCTGTTGAACACACAAGATATTTTGAAAAATTTTGGAAACCATCGACAAAAAAAAAAAAAAAAAAAAAAAAAAAATACACATCACATAAAACCCCCTCATAGCACTAAATAGGCATGAGATGATAACTGGTTTTAAGGTTAACCACAGTTTGAAAAGTCAAGATTTTAAAACCATAATTTTCTGTTACTGTTTCTACAGTACATGGAGTAATATGTAAGATACGATGTAAGTTTTTTTTTATGACTCTTTTATGTCGTTTTTTAGGGCAACATAATCTCCTGTAGAAACATCTGAAAAACAAACACCAATATCCAATAATGCCGTAGAGCTGAACAGTTTAGTGGCTTTACTTTGTTTACTGAAAAGATAGCTGTTAAAAGATTTTTAAATAAAAATATGTGTTTTAGAAATAAATGTAGACAGCAAAAAGCAATGATTTAGCCTGACATGTTTACTGTTTCAAAATATTTCAAATATCTCTGAAAATAAAATATATTGTGTTCAATAGATAAAAAGTTGTTGTTTTTCACTCAGACATTTAAAAGAATATATTTAAAAGCAATAATCACAACACCATGATATCGTGAAACCGTAACATTTTTATCAAAGGTTTTCATGTTGTTAGAATCTTATACTGACCCAAGCCTAGCACCAAATCATTTCAAACACATAATACTCCAATAGCCTTTTACTAAAAATCTATCAAAAAAAATTCATAAAAACCAAGACAGT